GAGTTTCTTTGGACTATTAGCTGTATATGTCAACATGTTAGGTAGAAAGTGAAATAAGAATATATATAGTACAATTCAATAGATATTTTTATCGATTACTAATGGTGTGACTTAGATTTATTTGCCCGTACTAATGCTGTGTGATTTAGACATCTGCAATCAAAGCTATATAACTACTCCGTATATAGTTAGCATATAACACAATCTACACAGATATTTTCATCAAATTCTCGGGAAATGCTTTGGATTAAAAATATCATAAAAGCGCTTTGACTTGGTGCATACTGATTTCACATGCCAATTGCCAGCAGGAGGAATCAACACCGAACCTAAAGGAAGAAATTCTTAGCAGGCCTTGACACCAACCCTATTAGCATTATTAAAATGTAGACTATATATATATATATATATATATATATATATATATATATATATATATGCTAATAGATTGTGATGAAAATATCTGTGTAGATTGTGTTATATGCTAACTATATAGTTATATAGCTTTGAGTATAGATCTCTAAATCACACAACGTTAGTACGGGCAAATAAATCTACACCATTATTTCCCATGTATAGTCATAATCGTTTTTGAATGGACCAATATATTTAATTAATTCTTAGAGATTTCTCTCTCTCTCTCTCTAAGAATTAATTAAATTATATTGGTCCATTCAAAAACGATTATGACTTTACAAGGGAAATAATTTATTACTTTTAAATTGTTTATGAATTGTCCAAATTACTTAAATTGACTAAAAATGGTCCCCAAATCATTATATAATATTTGTCTTAAAAAATACATTGTTATTTAATTTATAAGCTTATGATTAGACTTTTTTTTTTTTTTTTTTTTTTTTTTTTTTTTTTTGTGCGCTAATGACTCTATTACAATGTAGTATCTGTTCATAACTACTTTCTCAACCTACTGAAGCACAAAGAGTCAATGTCGCCTCCACTGAGGCTCGAACCTATAACCTCCTATATGATTAGACTATTTATACTCCTGGGAGGCACGCCATATAGTATTACAAAATACAAAGTTGGAGGAAATTATTAGAATACCATCGTAGCTTTTTCCTTCTACTCTAAAATTGCTAGATTTGGTCAGATGAGGGACTGCGATTGGTTCTTAATTTCTTCTAAGAACAACTTCTCATATGATCATATACATATATATCAAAGTTCAAATGAGAACAAGACTTCTCGTGAAAACGTGTAACTTAATCTCATCTGTCCATCTAAGATAATAATAATAAAAAAAAAAACTGTGTCATTTCTATAATTATGATTGTGCATTTAAACATGCAAAAGTATATTTACGGATAACTAACCGTATATTTGGAAACCTTTTTCTAAATTTGACTAAAATAAATTTAAATATAATATAATAATAATTATAATAATAATTATTATTATAATTATAATTATAATTATAATTATATTATTATTATTATTATTATTATTATTATTATATTTTGAAAGTAAGTCAAAACTGTAAAAAAATAAAATGTAATGGGTTACACTTGAAATAACATAATAATATGTCTCACTTCTAAAATGAGAAAGTATTTCGATAATTCAATTTTTTTAAAAAAATTAAATTTCAACAATACATATAAGATTTTTATCTCATCAAAATTCCATATGAGACAAGGAAACAGAGCTAGGTTACATAATGATGATGGGAGATTGAAAAGGATGGAGCCATGGAGGGAAGTGGGGTTGACAAATGACAAGGCAGCGTGGGGGAATGGTGAAGAAGCAACATTGGTTTATGGTTAATAAATATGACTCATACCTACTTGCTTTTCATTTCATTTTATATTTTTATGGTTCAAGTTTTCTGATTTTGATAAACTATATCTTACACGTATAAATTCACTAAAAGCTCATTAATAGGTAAATTGTGAGCCGAGATGGCAAATGATATTATGGCCTTATGGGTTATGGTCCACATACATTGATATGATAAAAATGAAACTTATGTCAGTAGTACGGTTCACCTTGTAAGGTGGACTATGATCCATAGTATAATGATTGACTTTCGTAAATTATATCGTGAACCAGATTCCATTATACTTATTATGAATCCTGATCCAAATTATACATACAATTAACATATTATGTATCTAGTTTCAATTTACATAATGTGTTAGCTGTAACGAGTATATAATTTGTTAGTGACAATGTATTATTTTTCTATAAATTTATAAAAAGTACTCCATTTGTCCCATTTTATCCGTCGTACTTACTATTCATTGGTCAAATCAATTTTTTTCTTTGTTTATTTTCTTTATTATTTTTTATTTGTTTTTAAATTTGATTTTTGTGTGTGTTTAATAGTGCTTTTAGTGTAGTTTCAAAATATATAAATTTTATATATTAATACTAAATTTAATATTATGAAAAATTAAATTTAAAATAACTTCAGTCAAACTTCATTAATCGAACCAGACACAAAAAGGAACGAAGAGAGTATTACACGTTCTACATGAGATCATCTTATAAAAAAGTTATCTCTTAAAAAAATCTTGTTTATATGGTTAAATGAGTTGGACACTTGGACCAAGGCACAAATGTTAGTTGAACTGCCACATGAGAAGCAGGTAAGCTGTCTGCAAACAATGGAGAGCACGAGGATTAGTAAGTAATTAGCATATCTAACAGGTTTCCCAAAGTCAATAATTAGCAATTTTGGTCAAATTATGGTTTAGATATAGGGATATTAAGTTAATAACCGTCAAACACCTTGTGTTTAGATGGCATGTAGTGACCTCTCCCATATGGGAGGTCATGAGATTGAGTCTCAGTGGATCATTAGGTTGAAAAAGTATGTTTGAACAGATACGAGTGTTTGATATGTTGTAATTACAATTATTTGACCTGCAAACTAGCTTGGTTGTTGTGCACTCTTGTTCCTTAAGAGAGGTCGGGAGTTCGAACCCCCTCTCGTATGCGAAAACTAATCTGACCAGCACTTTGCTTTCTAATTGGGCCGGCTCGGACTTAAAGGTGCCTCGTGATCTAACCAAAAAAAATTATTTGACCTGTCAAATTACATTATTTTTCATTTATTAAAAAAATGTATTTTAATCTTTATATCACTTTTTCTCTTTCCATTTCTAATAATTCTATTTCTCCCCCCAAACAGTATAATTTGAATTTTTACTTTTTCCTCACTTTATTCTTTGTTTTTTCCCCAACAAATTATAATTTTTGTTTTCTCTTAAATTTCTCTTTTTCTAACCAAACGCCTTGAAAGTAGAAGATCTAGTATCAGAAAATTTGGGTGCATATGGACGCATTCTCTAAATTGTAAATTCAACGTAATATTGAAAACTACAGTTTTTGTCTATATTTACATAAATGGCAAAAATGTCTTTTATTACACGTCTGCTAATGACGTGTCTTGATTTTCTTGCATCATTCGTTTTTTAGTTAGGTTAATGTTAATTATCATATGTTTATTTATATTATAATAAAAAAAGTAGAATAAATTATACTAGTCTAGTCTTGAAATTATAATAAATTTAGTATAAAAATCATTGAGAAAAATCGAGGCCGACATCGTTGTAAGGATCTTAAGGTAAGCCTTACCTCATACATTAATTATGATTATGAAAACTGAGGCATGAAAGCCGGCCTGTTGTAGTTGGGGTTGGTAGTTTAATTCAAACAATTTTCATCCAATTTTGGGAATTAAAATATGTCATATTAATATTAACAATTCATGAAGTATAAAATATTCCGCATAATAGTCAATGTTTGCTTAATTTAATTTCAAATAGCAAGTATTTAACTTAAAATTTGAGTTTCACCTGAAGATTTAGATTTAACATTTAAATAAGAATATATTTTAACTTACTTGAAATTTGAGCCATACAATTAAATTTCGTTAAAAATACATTTTTTGACTACTCATTTATTAACTAACTTGTGGTGCGTTAATAATAAGTGTAGGTAATACTCAAATATAAAATTATTCAAAAAAAAAATAATGATTAATAATGAGTCATTCACATGGGAGCTTTTGAATTTGCCATTCAAGGACACACATAACAACATGCCTCGAAAGGGTGAACAGGTAAATGAAACATAATTATCGTACCAACTGTCTTAGTCACATTTTAAGATTAAAATTTTGCGTCCCATTAATTCAATAATTTTCCTTTTTTACAATTACTAATTAATAACCGATAATCATTATAAAACTAAAAATAACTAATTAAGATGAAGATAGAGTTCTAATTGATTCAAATAACTCGAACCCCTAAAAGACTAACCAATTTTAAACAATTCTAATTTAAAACATCTATTAAATAATTGATAAAATTATTATTGCTCTTTTTTTTTTTTTTTTATTTTTATTTTTTATCGTATACATATTCAGGGCAGAAGATTACTAGTTCAATTCTTATCGATTCCTAGTTAGGCTAAAAGAAAAAGAAAAAAAAAGAAGATACAACACATCTGACATCTCAGTTCTCCCTGCTCCCTGCATGCAGCATATCTTGATTACGAGAAACATAAACGACAGAGTGCGCTCCTGATTTTCCTCAGTTAGACCATAGTATCACATGTTCTTGTCAGCCGTTTACAAAATCATTGTTTGGTAACTAGCTTTCTTCATTTGCTTATGGAATATAATATTTACTAATTTCCCTAAAATTTAGGGAGTTGAAGCTGTTTCCTTATTGGGAACTCTGTACGACTATATCAGCCTTTTTTTTTTTTTTTTTTTTGGTTTGTAGGAATTGAAGAAGAAGAAGAAGAAGGGGGAAGACGCCATTGTTTTGAGTTGTGTTGGTTGGGTTAGTACTGTCTGAGAAATGGATATCCAAGAGCCATTGCTGTCAAATGAAGGTCCAAAAGTTCACACTCTCAGGTCTAATTTCTTCTCAAAGTTGCCTGAAAAGCTCCAGGGAGGCCTTGATCCCGAGACCCCTTTTCATCTCGATTTCTCAAAAATCCCAGGTTTAATCGAAGGTACATCTGATTTACTCTGTTTAGGATTTAGGATTACTCTCTATGTCCCTATCGGTGTGTCGTGTGAAACTGAGCCTTTTCTGCCTCTGTATTAGTGAATGTTTCTCTTGATTTTGTGATGGTGTGGGTGTCTTGGTAAACAAAAAATTTGATCTTGCATTACCCTTGGGAAACCCGAAGTTACTATCTGAAGGTGGGAGGGTACCCTCACTTTGTGACCCCTAGCTGACCACAAGGACCTAAAAGAAGGCTGATAGGCCACCGTAACCTGATCAACTTGACTGAGATTGTCCCTTTTTTGTTTTCTTAAGGTGCTGTGTTGAAGCTATTTGTAACAGTCAAAATAGACTGAGATTTTGTGGTTGATTTGGTGGCTACACATTCTTGGACCTACAAGACCTAAGGATTTTATGTTGTTAAAATGGTATCATAATGTTGCTGCCATTAATCAAGGTTTTGTTTTGCTACTGTTATCAAGTTTACAAGCTTACTTTCAAATGTTGTCTGTCAGGGGAGAAAGAATATTATGAAAAACAACTTGCTACTTTAAGGTCCTTTGAAGAAGTTGATTCCTTGAAATCCCCTTGTGAGATTAATGAAGATGATGACAAGAAGGAACAGGCCCAGCATGAAAGGGCAATGAATGTCTCAAATTGGGCAAACATCTTTTTGCTTGCTTTTAAGGTAACTTCAATTGTTTTCAATTCTTGAATGAACCATGGTTGTGCTTTTCCATATGGTTACATCTGTGAGGTACTTTTTTTTTTTTTTTTTCATTCATTTGTGTATGTTAATATGTCGACTTTTTAACTAATGAAGTGTGCAACTTTGGTTGAGTTTCCAGATTTATGCCACCGTACAGAGTGGATCTCTCGCGATTGCAGCATCGACTTTGGATTCTTTGCTTGATTTGATGGCGGGTGGCATCCTCTGGTTCACACATTTGGCGATGAAAAATATAAACATCTACAAATACCCAATTGGAAAATTGAGAGTCCAGCCAGTGGGGATTATCATCTTTGCAGCAATCATGGCAACTCTTGGTATGTTTCTTTCCATTTCTCTCTAGTTTGACCATATTAATCTTCTGAATTACAACAGAAGTGTGAAAATGAACAATGAAAATCATTAGTTTTGATTTGGAATTCTATATATGTTTATGCAGGTTTTCAAGTTCTGGTGCAAGCGGTTGAACAACTGATTGCAAATACGCCATCCGATAAAATGGGTTCATTACAATTGGTTTGGCTGTACACAATCATGTTGACAGCTACCGGAGTAAAACTTATTCTCTGGATTTATTGCAGAAGCTCGGGAAACAAGATAGTGCGAGCATATGCTGATGTGTGTTCTTTTTTCATATTCAATCATGAAATCGAAACTATCTCTGCATGTTTGTTTCGATTGAGAGCTAATTCTTGAATTGCGATTATAGGATCACTATTTTGACGTGGTGACAAATGTTGTCGGGTTGGTTGCTGCTGTTCTTGGCGATAGATTCTATTGGTGGATTGACCCTACTGGAGCAATAGCCCTTGCTCTCTATACAATCATCAATTGGTCAGGCACCGTGTTGGAAAATGCAGGTCTTCTTTAGGATAGAGTTTTCACTACTAGAATGTGAACCTCTTTGGTTGTTAACATTGTTTATATGTTCGGTTTCTGCAGTTTCACTAGTTGGACAGTCGGCTCCGCCAGAAGTTCTGCAAAAGCTAACATATATGGTCTTGAGGCACGACCCTCGAATAAAACGAGTGGATACAGTCCGAGCCTACACCTTTGGTGTTCTCTACTTCGTTGAGGTATAAAGACATTATCACTTTACCTAAAATCATTCTTAAAACCTTAAACATGTTGAATGGTATAGGTTGACATAGAGCTTCCAGAGGAGTTGCCACTGAAAGAAGCACACGCGATTGGAGAGTCGTTGCAGATAAAGATTGAAGAACTCACGGAAGTGGAGCGTGCATTTGTTCATCTCGACTATGAATGTGATCACAAGCCAGAACACTCGGTTTTGAGTAAAATTCCCGACACTAAACCATAGAATTGCATTGTATTATCATGTGTCATCATATATCTCTGGAGGAGAGACAGAGGGAATTCTCATTTCTCTGTATGAGTTATTTCATACTGGGTAAGAAAAATTCCTACTTCATAATATCATGGTGATAATCTATTGAGGATTTAGCATCAAACCAAACGAAAAGTAGCTACTCACTTGAACGGGTATCAATTGATTTTTTTTTCCCCTTCTGATTACCAATTCAATGGAAACTAAGTGCGCCCTGCAATCATCGTCTTTAGCACCCATACAACATATGAGCAATTATCTACGTTTGCTAATCTTTTAACAAAAGAAAAAGAAACGAAACCAACCAAAACGTAGGAGGATGTAGAACCAAGATCCTGAATCACCAATGAATTTAAATGTCGAACAATTCCTTCAAGCTGAAGATGGCGATGTGTTTGGTTTGCATGGACTTTGTTTTCAAGAATTGGAATTATTTTTGGACTTGGATTTCAGAGTTGATTCTGGACAGAATTTGGGGGGCTTAAGGAATTCTTGGCTGATTATATTTCTTGGGCTTTGGATTTGGAGATCAAGTTTGAGCTTAATTTGTATCATGCATTGTATTTTGGCCGCTGGGCTTAAACTCCAGTGAGGTTTCTTTGACGTTCTTGTACTATTAGGGGTATGCCCCGTTGTTTGTGTACAGTTTGTTTGGTTATATATATTTACATAACAGACAAAAAAGAGGTTATGAGTTGAAGCTACTTGTAACAAACAGAATAGACTAAGAGTTTATGGTTGTTATTATAATGTTGTTGCCATTATAATTGAGGTTTTGTTTTACCATTGCAATCAACTTTACATGCAAGTTTCCGAGCTTGTTCAACTTTCAAATGTCGTATGTTAGGGAAAAAAAAGAAAGAGCAAATACCAATTTTGGTCCCACGAGTATTAGCAAAATGACAGGTTTAGTCCACATGTTTAATTCCTACCAATTTTCATCCTCGACTATTACTTTTAGTACCAATTTTCATCCATGACTATTGTTTTAGTGCCAAAATTCATCAGGCCAGTCACACATTTGTTTAAAACATGTCGAAATATGAAATTATTAAGGGTATTTTCGTCTTTTTAAAATTAAGATCCCAATTTGAGCATGAATAAAAAGATTTAAGCCCTAAGATCTATCGCGATTCACAATTTTTCTCCTCAAATTAAAGTAGGATGAGGAGGAGAACTACCAATTGGGATTGATCTTAGGGCTTACATCCCTTTATTCATGCTCAAATTAGAGTCTTAAGTTGAAAATGACGAAAATGCCCTTAAAATTTTTAAATTTCGACATGTCTTGGATGGAGGGGTGACTGACGTGATGAATTTTGGTACTAAAATAATAGTCATGGATGAAAATTGGTACTTAAACAATAGTCGTGGGATAAAAATTGGTAGAAATTAAACATGTGGACCAAAACCGTCATTTTGCTAATACTCGTGGGACCAAAATTGGTATTTGCTCAAAAAGAAAACTATGAAAAATAACTTGCCACTCTGAAGAAGTTGATTCCTTGGAATCCCCTAGTGAGATCAATGAAGATGATGACAAGAAGGAACATGCAAATAATGAAAGGGCAATGAACACCTCAAACTGGGCAAACATCTTTTTGCTTGCTTTTAAGGTAATTTCAATTTGGTTTTGTATTGCTCCACTTTCTTGCTTTTACTCGCAAAAGTCAAAATTCCCTCTCCCTAGCCAAAAAGAAAGTGGAAGAGTAAAATCACTTTTGTTATTTTGTAGTCTGTTAGGTGAAGCTGTTAGGGCTTGCGATTCTATGTCTTTGCCAAAATCTATCACCTAAGAATTAACTGAGCTGCCCGTACAGGCGGCATTGCACCACTTTCTTGAATGAGTCATTTAATGTCTTTCTTATGGTTGAGGTTTCCGATATGATTACATCTATAATTTTTTTATCTTTTTGTTAATATGTCAGCTGCCTCTTAACTAATGAAGTGTATACAACTTTGGTTGAGTTTCTAGATTTATGCCACCATATAGAGTGGATCCCTGGCAATTGCAGCATCAACCATGGATTCTTTGCTTGATTTAATGACTGGTGACATCCTCTGGTTGACCCATTTAGCAATGAAAAACATAAACATCTACAAATACCCAATTGGAAAATTGAGAATCTAGCCAGTGAGAATTATCATCTTTGCAGTAGTCATGACAACTCTTGGTATGTTTGTTTCCATCACTCTTGTTTTACCATACATATTAATCTTCCTTTTGAGCTAAAATGTGTTTTAATTTTTTCCCACAAAACCTGTATATATATGTTCCTACATGTTTTCAAGTTCTGGTGTAAGCTGTGGAACATCTGATTGTAGATAATCCCTCAGATACAATGAGCTCGTTTTAATTGATTTAGCTATACACAATCATGCTAACAACTACTTGAATGAAACTTATTCTTTGGCTTGATTGCATAACAGCTTTATTCGATTTATTAACTGTTTTTAATTTACAGCTTAGCATTTTCATTTGAACATTTTGGCAGCTGATTGTAACAAATTCATAGTTTGCTCATCAATTTCAACTTATGTGTATGCAGTGCATATATGGTGTAGAGAGGTGTATATGCAACTTACTATCCAATTTTATTATCAACACTCACGGATACATGCAGTAGGGAAAAATAACAAATAAAATATAGTGAATTTAACTGATCAAGTGTACATATACATTTAATATTGTTTTTAAAATGATTTGAGACTTTGACTATAAACAACAGGAGGATACATATAAAAATTCCAACTAGCCGTATAAATGTTCTTCTTTTCTTTAGTTACTAAATCATACGAGGTGAAATGTCTCAGAATACGAACACCATCGTCAAACATCTGATTATATACCAACAAATGTGCACCCAAATTCCAAATTCTCATTGGGTGGGAATAGTGATTGCTGCCCTCCACTCTTGCATATTTATTCCACCCAATAATATTATTATGTTCATTCATTATCCAAATTTCAATATAATTCCCGCGGGCAATACAATAACTTATCAAAGCAATAGTATCTTTCATAGCCGAAATGGCTGCCAAATCCATTTCTGGTAACTCAATCTTCCCGAAAGTCTCATCATCAAAGTCAAACCAAAGCAAATGGTTTTGCTCTTTATTTTGATCTTGGACCGTGCAAGTCCAATAATGCTTTCCTTTTAAATACAAATTACTACCAGTATTATTCACATAAAAATTAATGCCCAAACTATGACTAAATCTTTTCCAACCACATGAATTGTTACCGTCTCCGCTACACACCATTACGATTGGATCGGGAGTAGTCCAAATCATGACAACCTTTCCAGTCATGTTGGAAGAAAGCCCAAATCCAATTGCTGTACAATTTGGATCAAATCCGTCTAGTGTCTCCATATTTTGCAAATTCTTAATTTCTCCGATGGCCGGATTCCATATAGAAATATCCCAAACATAATTGTCAACACTTATTTGAATGCGGGTAACCAAACAAAACATACCATCAGCATACCTTATATAACTTATGGGTGAAATTGGGAAGGTAAAGCCTGCACATCCAATCTCATCACAATCTAAGTCTTTGAAAACGAAACCAAATCTTCGATCCTCGTCCCGACCCGGCATATGATGCTCGAAAACAACATAATCTCTTTTGCCTCGACTAATTTCAAAATGCTTGTGTTTGAAATGATGATCATTTTGTATCAAAGAATAAAAGAATTTACAAACACATTTAAATCGCATAAGTGACTGTACCGGTAACCTTGCTAGAATCTCAATATGCAAATCCCTAGAATTTATGCAGTTTTCCATTGTTGATTGATAGATGTTTGAAATGGTGGAAGTGGAGCTTTTATTTGGGTGGTTTCGTATGGAATGGCTAAACAACAGTATAGGGTTTCTGGGGTGGTTATCGAATCGTGGGGTTATGTATGTAATTTGTAGTCTCCTATAGTATGTGGTTTCTGTTTTTTTTTTTTTTTTTTTTTTTTTTTTTTTTTTTTTTTTTTTTTGAAACAAAAGGAAAAAATTAAACTTCATTAATAGGTGGTTTCTGTTTTTATTTACTCCGTATATTTAATTCTTTTTTATATTTTAAATAACTATGAGAAATGATTTTTTAAAAAAAGGGGATTTAGGGTGTAGTATATATAGTTGTAATGAGTAATTGATATAATATAAGTGACAAATTAATTAACATGCCTACCTGCTCATTACATTGCTCTAGTTATTTATACAATCTTTTACTGCTTTGACCAGTGGTTACAAGCCTTAGCATTTTCATTTTTACATTTAATTTGGGGCAGCTGATTGTAACACATGCACACATTCATAGTTTGCTCAATTTCGACTTATGTGTATGGAGTAGAAATAATAATAATAATAATAAAACATAGTAAATTTAACTGATCTGAGTGTACATATAAATGTAATATTGTTTTTAAAATGATTTGAGACTTTCACTATAAACAAAAGGAGGATGCTTCCAATAATTCCAACTAGGGTTATAAATGATCTTCTTTTCTTGAGTTATCAAATCATACGAGCTGAAGTGTTTCACATCACGAACATCATCGGTACCAGGAAGTTGAAGTGTGTGACCATATACCAACAAATGTGCACCCAAATTCCAAATTCTCACTGGGAGGGTATACAAATTGCCGAACTGCAAGCTTGCATATTTATTCCAACTAATAATATTATTATGTTCATTTATTGTCCAAATTTTTACCTCATTCATGTCAATACCGCAACTTATCAAAGCAATAGTATCTTTCATAGCCGAAATGGCTGTCCATGAAGAATGTATTTCTGGAAACTCAATCTTCCCGAAAGTCTCATCATCAAAGTCGAACCAAAGAATTTGATTTTGGTCTTTGATCTTGCAACTCCAATAATACTTTCCTTTTAAATACAAATTACTATGCTCATCATCTACATCAGAAATGTCCAAACTATGATTAAATCTTTTCCAACCATATGAATTATTACCGTCTTGGCTACAAACCATTACAATTGGATCGGGAGTAATCCAAATCAAGACAATCTTTCCCATCATGTTGGAACTTGGAAGACAGCCCAAATCCAATCATTGTTGTATATTCTCGATGATATCCGTCTAGTGCCTTGGTATTTTGCAATTTCTTAATTTCTCTAGTGGATGGATTTCATATAGAAATATCCCAAACATACTTGCCAAGACTAACGTAGTTAAACAAACAAAACATACCATCAGCATACCTTACATCACCTATCCCTGAAGTTGGGAAGGTTAGGTCTACACATCCAATCTCACCAGAGTCTGATTCTTTGTAAACTAAACCAAATCCTCGATCCTTGTAAAAATTATGATTAAAATGATGAAAAATCACATAATCTCTTTTGGCTCGACTAATTTCAAAGTGCTTGTGTTTAAAATTATTATCACTTTTTATCAAAGAATAAAAAAATTTACAAACACACTTAAATCGAATGAGTGACTTTACCGGTAACCGTGCCAGAATCTCGATGACAACATCCCTCAAAATTATGCAGTTTTCCATTGTTGATTGATAGATATTTCAAATTGTGGAAGTGGAGCTTTTATTTGGGCGGCTTCGTATGGAATGGCTAAACAACAGTACGTATTAGGGTTTTTGGCGTGGTCATCGAATGGTGGGGATAGGTATATATACAAGACAATTGGCAGATTGTAGTCTCCTATAGGAGGTGGGTTTTGTTTTTATTTACTCCGTATATTGATATCTTTTTTATATTTTAAATAACTATGAGAGTATTTGCATTTGTGCGATGCGCGGAATGAATTTGTTGTAATATATTAAGAATATATGAATTGATATATAATTATTTAAATTAGAACATCAAAATTATATAGTGAAATTAAAGATATGGTTTGGATCGTTTATATATTTTGATGTTATCATTGCTTGAATTTGTGCAAATAATTGGTCAAATTAATAGCAAATGTCTAGATGTACGCATACGGTGCTATAAATTTGAAGATTTTATTTATCATTATTTAGAATTTTTCATAAATTAGGCAAATGTGCTCGTTCTCTAACAACTCAGTTATAGAAATGAATTGGTATCCTTATTCATTTGTATGGAAGATATATATTTTTGTCTAGATATATAACCTCTTTGTAGACGACATTGGTAGTGATAACACAATCTTGTTCATCTTCGTCTAGAGCTAACACCTTCAATCCATCAGGACGAATTACTTGGATTAAAATATATAATGGTAGAATATTACTCAATTAGTTATCCTTTTATATTTTCAGTCAATTAGTGATATCACATTCATTTTCAGCCAATTATTCTTTTTTAATTTCAGTCAATTAATCAATTAGAATATCAAATGCAGTGATATTTTTACCTAGTTTTCGTTCCATTTTTAATTGATGATGTAGATATTATTATTGAAATATTTCCGTTTCATTTTTAATTTACATTTACTATTGTTTAAAATATGCATTTACTATTGATAATGTAGAATATTATTATTGAAATATGTTCCTCCAATTTTTAATTTTCATTCCATTTTTAATTAAAATACAATGATCTGACCATTTTTTTTTAGTCAATTGTACTGAGTAATTGAAATTGTACTGAGTAATTGAAATCAATACAAATGACAAATACATTGCTCTAGTTATTTATACAATCTCGCTCTGTGTTCCAACTGCCTCCTCATCGACTAGGTTGAATGTCTCTTGTATCAAGGCGCTGGCCGGCCGCCTAGCGTATCAACATAATCGGGTGGTCTAAACAGTCGTGGACTGCCTAAGTCAACTAGGCTGCTTAGTAGGCCAATTAACTATTATTTTCTTCTAGTGATTTTTTTAAATGGGTTGTGTCACTCAAAACGACGTAATTTTTTTTTTAAAAAATAAAAATTAAAAAAATACACAAGCCCCTTAGCAGTGCCTAGCAATTATTTCAACCAATTTTTTCAACCATACTCTAGTCGGACGCAAGATTAATTTTGCAACACAGTAACTACCTATATATTATTGCAGTCATGATCATCCTCACAGCACAGACATATTTTGGCTGAAATTTCTCCAGCAATGCCATCTTTTACTGCTTTGACCAATGGTTACAAGCCTTAGCATTTTCATTTTTACATTTGGGCAGCTGATTGTAACACATGCACACATTCATAGTTTGCTCAATTTCGATTTATGTGTATGCAGTAGAAAAAAACAAATAAAACATAGTGAATTTAACTCATCGAGTGTACATATACATATAATATTGTTTTTAAAATGATTTGAGACTTTCACTATAAACAAAAGGAGGATGTGATGAACAAATTTCCCAATTAACGTCATAAATAATCTTCTTTTCTTGAATTATCAAATCATACGAACTAAAGTTTTTCACATTACGAACATCATTGGTGCCAGGAAGTTGAAGCGGATGATAATCATGTACCAACAAATGTGCACCCAAATTCCAAATTGTCAATGGGAAGGTATACAAATTGCTGATGATCTCCAAGCTTGCATATTTATTCCAACTAATAATATTATTATGTTCCTTCATTGTCCAAATTTCTACCTGATTCATGTCAATATTGCAACTTATCAAAGCAATAGTATCTTTCATAGCTGAAATGGCTGGCCATGAAGAAGAATGTATTTCTGGAAACTCAATCTTCCCGAAAGTCTCATCATCAAAGTCAAACCAAACAATTTGATTTTGGTCTTTGATCTTGCAACTCCAATAATACTTTCCTTTTAAATACAAATTACTACGATGATCATCCACATCAGAAATGTCCAAACTAGGACTAAATCTTTTCCAACCACATGAATTATTATCGTCTAGACTACAAACCATTACAATTGGATCGGGAGTAATCCAAATCAAGACAACCTTTCCTATCATGTTGGAAGACAGCCCAAATCCAATCATTGTTGTATACTCTCGATGGTATCCGTCTAGTGCTTTGATATTTTGTAATTTCTTAATTTCTCTAGTGGATGGATTCCATATAGAAATATCCCAAACATAATTGACAAGACTAACGTAGTTAAACAAACAAAACATACCATCAGCATACCTTACATCATCTATCCCTGAAGTTGGGAAGGTTAAATCTACACATCCAATCTCATCAGAGTCTGATTCTTTGTAAACTAAACCAAATCCTCGATCCTCGTAAAAAGTCGGCTTATTATGCTGGAAAACCACATAATCTCTTTTGGCTCGACTAATTTCAAAGTGCTTGTGCTTAAAATGATTATCACTCTTTATCAAAGAATAAAAGAATTTACAGACGCACTTAAATCGAATGAGTGACTTTACCGGTAACCGCGCCAGAATTTCGATCACAACATCCCTCAAAATTATGCAGTTTTCCATTGGTGATTGATAGATATTTCAAATTGTGGAAGTGGAGCTTTTATTTGGGCGGCTTCGTATGGAATGGCTAAACAACAATACGTATTAGGGTTTCTGGCGTGGTTATGAATGGTGGGGATAGGTATATATACAAGACAATTGGCAGATTGTAGTCTCCTATAGTAGGTGGGTTTTGTTTTTATTTACTCCGTATATCGATATCTTTTTACGGCACATTTGGTTCACATAATGAATTTAAAGGGAATAGGAATACTATTCTTTAGGGAATAGGAATATTATTCCTCAGGGAATGGAATAGGTAAGAAATAGAATATGAATTGTATTATGTTGTTTGGTTGACTGAAGGAATAGACTTTAGTAATTGTATTCCAGTGTTTTGTTGGTTAAAAAAAATAGAAATGAAATAGGTTTTAAAGACATAAATACCTTTATACAAAATAATAATAATAATAATAATAATAATAATAATAATAATAATAATAATAATCTTAACTATAATAAAGCTATATGGTTTGGGAAATAATTAATGTTACAATTAATGTCACAACATCGTTTATTAAAAAAAAATCACAACATTTGAAAAATAAAATAGCTATATATATTATATAATCATATAAAAATGTACTTTTAAAAAATAAAATAGCTATATATTATATAATCATATAAAAAAATATGTTCAATTAGAGTTTAAATTTACTCATACAAAATTTGAAATTTGCTTTCCAAATGTAATTATCTTAGTTATTATTCGTATTGTGAAAATTATAATATAGAACGAAATACAATTAAGAATAAATCAATGTTATTATGTAAAATCTCTCTATAAGTTTATTTAAATATGCACATAATTAGAGATTATATTAACCATACAAAACAACATAATCTCTTTTGGCTCGACTAATTTCAAAATGGTTTTGTTTGAAGCCATGATCACTCTTTATTAAAGAATAAAAAATTTACAAATGCACTTAAATCACATAAGTGACCTTACTGATAACCTCGCTAGAATCTCAATCTGCACATCCCTTGAATTTATGCAGTTTTCCATTGTTGACTGATAGATGTTTGAAATGGTGGAAGTGGAGCTTTTATTTGGGTGGTTTCGTATGGAATGGCTAAACAACAGTAGGGTTTCTGGCCTGGCGTGGTTATCGAATCGTGGGGATAGGTATACTCCATATATTTATATTGCTTATATGATTTTATTTTGATGATTTAGACTATCCTTATCGGGACTTAAGATTCCTGCGTTTTTGCCTACAAGATTGTAAAAGAGTAAATAATGGTGATTCAACAGCTTACTAGGTGATCGAAATGAAAGAATTTGTGCTTAGTCAAGTTCTTACAAAGAGCTACTTCACAAGAGGGTGAAATTCTTGCGCTATAATAATCATGTCTGATAAAGAAGTGTATTTAGCGTGGTAGAGTTTGAAGTTGTCTTTCAGCATCCACGAACCTTTAATTTCCTACGTAGATGTTTTGAAGATTAATTAAGTTGGTGTATTTGGCTGCGGCCTTTTTGTGTATGTAATTATGTCATACCAATCCCTGTAATCTTGGTGAACATTTAGTGGCTGAATTGAACTGACGTGAGTTGCTCTGCAGACGTAGCAGTTTATGTTCTGAATTGCGGGCGTTACCAATTGCTGTCCCTGGTTCCTTTATATACATGCATGTCTTTTATTTTGTCCGTTCATTGTATTAAAATCAAACCTAATTTAAGATAAGTAATTGATTTTTTTTTAAAAATTAAATAGAAACTATTTAGAAGCCACTTACATTCAAGATCCACGATTCTTTTACAAACCTCAAAGTTAGCCTAATCACCTTCAAACTATCTTGCAAAAAGTGTGTTGGTAACAATTTACAATTTTCCCATGCATTTACTTAACAATATGAAATCGCTTTAAGACTAGTTAGTTCAAATTTTTATCTATCACTAAAATATACCATTGAGAGAATTACTTACTAAGTACAGTCTTTATTCTAATTGTTATAAAAAAAAATCTTTAAAAATCTATTCATTAAAAAAACAAAACAAAAATTGAGGGTATTAATTGAATTAACACTGAAAATAATTAGTGAATAACGAATGTAAAGACAATAATGAAGAATTTTATGAAAATGTAATTGCATAGAACAAATATTGTATTGAGTAATTGAAATCAATACAAGTGAAATTAAAATTAATTAACATGCCTACATGTTCATTACATTACTCTAGTTATTTATACAATCTCTATAACGGACACAATCGCTGCTCTATGTGTTCCAATTGCTTCCTCATTAAGTAGGTTGAATATCTCTGGTCTAGTGTTGTATAAATCGCGCCTAGACGTCAGTCGGCTTTCTAGCGTATCACCATAATCGGTGGTCTAGGCGATTGATTAGGCCGCCAAGGCACTGACTGCCTAAGCCAACTAGGCTACCTAGTCAGCCAATTAGTTATTGTTCCATTTTGTTGATTTTTGTAATTTTGAGTGAAATAATGTTAAATCATTTTTTTTTAAAGTCAACCATTGAGTTGTATTTATAGATGAATCAAAATAGAGTCAGGAGGGACATTGTCCCAGTACATCGGTAATGTATAATTAAAAGCAGTTGCTGCTAAAGTATGAGCTAAAGTATTATGCGATCTAGAAATAAAATTAACCGAACAATAATCAAACATATTTAAATAGGTTCTGCAGTCTTCCAGGACGTAACCAAGATAGGATCGTGTCTTAATAGTAGCTGACGACAAATAAGAGAGTAGTGTCTGACAATCTGTAAAGAGGTTAACTAATTGTTCCCCCCGGGGTCCTTGAGCCACGATAATACCTATTTGCATGCCATAGCCTCCGCCATAAGCGGTGAAAAGCAACTTTGCGGAGGTGCACAAAAAGCTGATATATAGTTGCCAGTGTGGGTGAACAATACTGCTCCAGCGGTGGCCGTCATGGACGACGGGTGATATCCGGCATCGATGTGACACCGTCTTGGTTAGGGTAGATGATCTTCGGCATGTTGAGGTGGCGGCTGTTGTTGCATCAATACGGCAGCGCTGGCTGGTAACGTAACTTGTGGCGGTACCGTGGGATGTTGGTGGACGACATTCAGCTGCTCCCTCTCGGCAGTAGCATGTAGGCGCTGCCACGCCTTCATAACAGCTAAAGTCGTGGTTAACACTTTCTTGGGCATTGGTAGATAAGCATTCCACACCGCTTCGTTCCGGGCCCTCCAAATATTGTATAGTATCGCAGCTGCAAACAATATTGCATCAGAATCTAGAACATCTAACAATGTTCCAAACCATTCATAAAAAAACATTTGTCACAATTTGGGGGATTGGAAGGCTAGATTGGCTCCATATGGCTTTTGCATAGTCACACAACACTAATGAGTGCATTATATCCTCATGCATTAAACCACACATTGTGCATGTTGGATCAAATTCCACCCTCTTTATAAGCAAGTTAGTAGTAGTGGGTAAGATATTACTCATAGCTCTCCATATGAACATTTTTCCATTTTGGTGGTATCTTGAGGTGCCATAGGGTGTTCCATTTATCAAAACCCATGTTAGTATTATAGGTGTCCACTATAAGCCTGTATCCATTCTTAACCGAGTAGCATCCATTTGGATCTCCATACCAATACCAAGTGTCCTCATAATCCGGGGAGATGGGGATCTTTAAGATTCTAGGTATATCATTTGGGTGAAAAATATTTGCTAAAATGTGGGGATCCCATGTTCCAGTTGTTTGGTCAATCAACCCTGCAACCTTACTATCTACTAACTGTAATGGCATCTCAGTTTGGACCATAGGATCCAACTCATCCTGGAGCCAAAGATCCTTCCATATTAAAGTCGATTCACCATTCCCAATACGTCGTCGCACCCCACTGGTAATTAATTTTTTAGCAGCCATAATACTCCTCCAGCAGTAGCTAGGATTATTCCCTATACTTGCCTCAGAGAAAGTTAGTTTAGGGTAATACCTAGCTTTATACACACGGGACACCAATGAGTCAGTATTTGTTAGGAAACGCCAAGCCTGCTTCCCCAACATAGCCAAATTAAATGCCTTCACATCCTTGAAACCTAGGCCTCCATATTTCTTGGGTACACACAATTTATCCCTTGGCCTCCAATGTTAAATCGTTTAAACCCTAGATTTTTTAAGTTAATATTTAATATTTTAGTATTAAATATTAAATTAAATTATTAAATAATTTATAATTATTATTATTATTTTAACAATAAAAAAATATTTAAACAATTTTTTTAAAAATAAAAAATATTAGGCGCCTAGGAATTTTTTCAACCATCTAGTTCGGGGGAGGAATGCCATCTTTTACTGCTTTGCCCAGTGTCGCTTTCATTGTCCCACCAAGCTAACGTTACAAGCCTTAGCATTTTCATTTGAACATTTTGGCAGCTGATTGTAACACATTCATAGTTTGCTCATCAATTTAAATTTATGTGTATGCAGTGCATATATGGTGTAGAGAGGGGTATATGCAACTTACTATCCAATTTTATTATCAACATTCACGGATACATGCGGTAGGGAAAAATAACAAATAAAACATAGTGAATTTAACTGATTGAGTGTACATATACATGTAATATTGTTTTTAAAATGATTTGAGACTTTCACTATAAATAAAAACAGGATAAAAATAATTCCAACTAGCGTTATAAATGATCTTCTTTTCTTGAGTTACCAAATCAAACGAGGTGAAGTGTTTCAAATTACGAACCTCATCGGTACCAGGAAGTTGAATCGTCTGATGATATACCAACAAATGTGCACCCAAGTTCCAAATTGTCATTGGGTGGGAATACGCAATGCTCTCCATGCTTGCATATTTAATCCACCTAATAATATTATTATGTTCATTCATTGTCCAAATTCTAATCATGTTTTGATTCCCCTCAATATAATAACTTATCAAAGCAATTGTATCTTTCATAGCCGAAATGGCTGCCAATGAATGTTTTTCTGGTAACTCAATCTTTTTGAAAGTCTCATCATCAAAGTCAAAACAAAGCAATTTATTTTGGTCTTCGATCATGCAACTCCAATAATGCTTTTCTTTTAAATACAAATCACCACAACTATTATCAACATAAGAAATGTCCAAACTATGATTAAATTTTTTCCAACCACGTGAATTATTACCGTCTTAACTACAACAAACCGTTACGATTGGATTGGGAGTAGTCCAAATCATGACAACCTTTCCTGTCATGTTGGAAGAAAGTCCAAATCCAATTGCTGTATAGCCTTGATCGGATCCGTCTAGTTCCTTGGGTGCGTTGACATTTGGCAATTTATAAATTTCTCTAGTGGATGGATTCCATATAGAAATATCCAAAACATAATTGTCAAGACTAATTTTAAGGTCGGTAACCAAACAAAACATACCATCAGCATACCTTACATCACATATGGGTGAAGTTGGGAAGGTCAGGTCTGTACATCCAATCTCATCACAATCTGATTCTTTGTAAACTAAACCAAATCCTCGATGTTGGCCCCAACGTGGCATACGACGCTTGAAAACCACATAATCTCTTTTGACTCGACTAATTTCAAAGTGCTTGTGTTTGAAATGATTATCACTTTTTATCAAAGAATAAAAGAATTTACAAAAACATTTAAATCGCATGAGTGACCTTACTGGTAGCCGCACCAAAATCTCGATCACAACATCCCTCGAAATTATGCAGTTTTCCATTGTTGATTGATAGATGTTTGAAATGGTTGAAGTGGAGCTTTTATTTGGGCAGTTTCGTATGGAATGGTTACAACAGTATGGTTTCTGGCGTGGTTATCGAATGGAGAGGATAGGTATATATACCACACAATGGGCTGATTGTAGTCTCCTATAGTAGGTGTATTTTTTTTTTTTTACTCCGTATATTTATATCTTTTTTTATATTTTAAATAACTATGATAAAAGATTTTTGAACAAATATCAATTTTGGTACTCCGTATATTTATATTTTGAACAAAAACGTTTTTAAAATTAAATTGACTTAAAATATTAGCGGCGGAAATAAGCAACCGCCACGAATTAATCGTCCTTATATGTCATTAATTAAGTGCAAGCTAAGGCTTTTGCATCATATCATATGGCTGGTTTGTCAAACAAACCTAATGAAATGAATGCATAATAATCCAAAGGTGGTTGGTTAGAGTGTTTCTCTCTCTAGAAAGAATTCTCTCTAGAGTGCCAACGTTCCTCTGATTTGTTTGTCCGGTGACCTTCGAAATTAATTTTTGTTTGTTCACTGGAAATCGTCTTTTGGTTTCAATGATTTTGATATAATATGGATTTTCAGATTTTTTTATTTGCTTTGCGAATTTCTATACTGCTTTGTCGTTAGTCCTTGGAGTCTTCGAACAAGACAACTTTGGTTTTTTTATTTTTTGTTTCTTCTTGGATTTTATGCTATAGACGAACGGCCAAGTCAGAATCTCTTTTGTGCATGGGCGTTGACTTTTCAAACGACGTGGATTTATGGATTTTCCGGTGATGTATGCGACGGCGATGACTACCCGGAACCCGATGGCGACTGCTTCCAGCGGTGGTCTCATTCCGGTCGTCCTGCTTCGATTTACGGTGGTTCATGGGATGTGGTCGCCGATGGTTTATGTTCCGGTGGTAGCCTCCTCCGGCTGTTCAGAAGCATGGTGAAGGCCGCAAGATTCATTCGTTGGGTATCCATCTTGGTGTTTCCGGCCATGGTGGGGTGGTCTATGTCCGTTTTGGTAGTGTTCTTGGTCTATATCTCCGGTGAGTTCATGAGATTTCCGGTGAACGTCATGGTGGACGGCGGAGCTCCGATGGTTGATCGTCGCTGGCTTGGTATGGTAGGTTAATAAGGAATAACCGATGATTGGACTTGTTTGGCTGTTTTTAGTTTTAATGGATTGTGTAATCAGGGGTATGCCCATATTTACATCTCCTATTTGATGAATGCATAATACTCATAATTAAAATCTAAACAAAAAATGTGACAATCACAATAAGTTTCATTTAAAAGGAATAGTCATTAACGAAAGAGAGGTAAGTTTTGAGGCATTAATACCGATATCCATCTTCTATTACCTCAACTCCCAATCTTCAATAATTGCACCGTACCCATCAAACATTTTACACATATTTCAATTATTACAACTCAAGAATTATCTTCTATTACTTCAACTCGATCACAATCTTCAATAATTGCACCCATCAAACATTTTACACATATTTCAATTATTACAGCTCAAGAATTTTCTTATCTATGTAGAAGCTAAGAGAGTGTTATCAAGTTATAATTTTGACTAGTATTAGTTCGATCAGTTTGTTTAAAAAAAAAAAAAATATTCACTATATATAGAGTCTGCACAAAGTAAATTCCGTCTTATGTAAACCAACCTAATTTAAGTTACCCATGTCATAATAGATTGATTCAAATCAAGAAGCTAAGAATGGTAATTAAGATTCGAACTCATGATCTTAATTATAATGCATGACACGTTTGGAAGGTGATGATGTGTTAATTGTTGATAACCCAAATGACCATCTAAACACTGCGTGCCAATAATATTTGTGAACCTTTTGGAAATGTGCATCCACTCCGATCCGATGGATACAAGTAGCCATATTGAATATCCGTGTGGGCAGATTTCTAAGTCTCCGATCGCCGATTGAAAATGCTTCATTTGATTATATTATTAGTATTCACCGTCCATATTATATTAAAAAAATATTCTTTAAAATAAATATAAGAAAATGAGAATGCAAACCATAAATAATACTTTTATTTATTTATTTGACTTATCACAAATAAATAATATTACCGATACACTTGTCTTCAGAAGTATTACAACGCACTATATTCATCCCTAATTGGTCATAACAAATTCTTATCTCAATAAGATAAGTATTAAGGCATATGAGTATGATATCTTTATTACCTAATGCTGTTTTAAGTGCATTCCGGATGGTTGCAGCAGGTTGAGGCTTTGCGCCAGGAACTACCTTGGCAGTTGCTAAAATAGTTTTCAGGTTATGTGCACCGTGTAGGGCGAGTCCCTTTCGCAGGTAAGCGTTTTGATCCAAGAATCCTCCATGTTTTGTCCGCTCATGAGCACTACTGGAAATCTCGCTATTTCCGTCCAACATTTCCGTCCAACCGTAAGTTGGTCGGTATTTTAATAAAAAATTCAACTTTCTATCGCAAAAGAAGGGTGGACGGAAAGTTGGTCGGAAGTTCCGTCCAACATTCACGCGTTGGACGGAAAATCCGTTCAACATCCGGTGTTGGAAGGAAATTCTGTCCAACCTGTAGTGTTGGTTGGTAAACTCAAATTGATTAATAGGTAGAAATTAAAAATGGTAAGAATTTTAATTTCCGTCCAACATATTATTGAACGGAAATTTAGGAAATAAATAAAAATAAAACCCTAGACGTATAGTACCCTCCAAACATAGATCTAAGCTCTTCTCTATCTCTATAAGCTCTGGCGATTGACGACTATTATTAGGGTTTCAAATTACCCTTCGTCTTCAGCAGTTCATATCGTTGCGAATTCACCACTCCAAAACCCTCGCTCCACCTTCTCCAGCCCACGCGAAAACAACCCCAGCACCCCACTACCGCAGCTCTCCATTCTCCCTCGCTGTCATTCCCACAGCGCCGCCGTCGGTCGTTGTCCCCACAGTAGTCGTCGTCGCTCGTCGTCATCCTCTTCTCGTCGCACAACCGGTCCAGACGGAGGACCGAAGCTCACGCTCTATCCAAACCTTCCTTTGTCTGTTTCATTGGCGGCCTCTACTGCTAAGGTGAGACTTTTTCTCTTTTTTTTTTTTTTTTTTTTTTTTTTTTTTTTTTTGTTCTGCTTTTCTAGGGTTTCTGTTTCAGTTTTATTTATCTTTTTATTTTTGAGTTTTGTTATTACTGTTTTATTTTATTTTATTTTTGCTCTTTAGTTTAATTCGATGTTGCCGATATATTTGATTTTGGTGTCGCTTATTGATATCAAATTTGATGTTGCTGATTTATATTAGTTTTGGTGTTGCTGATCGATTTTATTGTTGATGTTGCTGATCTATTTTGTGTTTTTTTTTTCTGATGTTCAGATCTAATCGTTAAAGTCTGCTATCACCATTCTGATTGAATATAAACCAACCTAGAGTTTACCTTAGATAAACCAGCTTGATTCCTGAATTGGGGATTTAGAATTTTACAAATAATTTTCCATGCTTCCTTTATGAAATCTGTTCTAATGCGTCGAATCCGTATCCTCCACTCTTTCTCTGTTGTATTTCTTTACTGGTTCTATGTGTTTTCATGAATTGCCTCCTCATTAGTGTTCCTGCCTTCCATTCTGCTATCTGCAAAATCCTAATTCCCATTCTTAAACTTATTGGTTAGACTTCTGAGCCAGGCTTCATAATTTTTCTCAAACCTTTAATTAATGGGGTTGGGTGCAGTTGTGACAGTGAAAGACCCCAGGGAAGCACAGATTATTCTTGGTGGGGTGGAAGAAGGTGGGTTTGATGTTGTTATTGCAGATGTGCACATGCCTGAGATGAATGGATTTCAATTGCAGCAGCAAATCACCACTCACTTTCAACTGCCTGTTATTTGTGAGCTAGTTTTTAATAACTCTCTTTTATTTATATATATATATATATATATATATATATATATATATACTTTAAGATTTGGACTAGCTATTGCTATTTGAACACTGTTAAACCAAAATATGTTTCATTGATCAATACTTTATGCTCAAAACAAATATGTTGAATTTGTAATTCTTTAAAGATGAAATTTCTACTCGTATCCAGCTTCTGTCCTCTTAACTTTTTATATAATTTTGCATGCTACATACTGTGAAAAGGAGGCCAAATTATTACATGACTACTATTCTTTCTTTCTTTTTTTTGGTGAGAACATGACTACTATTCTATTTCTATGCATTTTGAGATGGAGGTCTTTTAACACTTCATATTTGCTCATCACCCACAGACTCTAGCTTTGCTATTAAGTGTGGTGGTCAAGAAATAACATCGTTTAACCAGATAGTGTATGAGAGGGATAATGAGACTCTTGGTTCGGCAACATATTACATGACAAGCACTGGCAGGTGGGCTGTTAGTAATGTTGGACTGCCCTTTGATAGCAGTTGGGCTGTTAGTAATGTTGGACTCACCTTTATTTATCTCTATTTTTAACAACCCTTTTGTTTTACTGAGAAATGGGAATTAAGCAGATAAAAAGAAAGAATGTTGTTGCAGTAATTTGTTTAGGTCCTTATTCAAGTTTAAAATTTCTCCCATTTTCATGGCGGTGTGCTTGTGTAAGTTAGTTCTCTTATGCTGATGTTGTGTCCATTAGTTCTCTTATCATTGCAAATAATACTTGATGAAATGTTTATCTCAGGTTGCTTATGATGATTTTGTTGATGTTGGATCATTTGCAGTTGCAAGAGAGAAAATACTTCTAAGTTTGTTTTTCCAAGTGTTGTTTATGTTTTCTGTATGATTTTTGCATTTTGAAATCTATCACGGTCTAATTTTGGTGAAGGTCTACATTTGATCAAAGTCATTGAAGAAGAAGGTTGTGGATGCTGCATTGATCAAAGCCATTGAAGTAGTGTCGGATTTGAAGGCTTATTTAGGTGCAGCATACTTAAGTAGTATCAATTAAGTAGTATATATTTTCATGACTTTTTTTTTATGAACATGACAATAATTTTTGTTGTAAAGAATTTTGATGTTTAAATATATTTTCAATTTGAAATTTAGTGTGTTCAATAATTTGTTGATGACATATAATTTATTTACAATAGATATAAATAAAATTTTGGTAATATAAAAATAATAAAAACATTACATATGATTTAAGATTTTCCTACCAACCGTTGGAAGGAAAATTACAAAATATAATAAGATTTCTGACCAACGCACATAATTGGACGGAATTTCCGACCAACGCACAAGGTTGGACGGAAATTCCCACGTTTTAAAAATGGTGGGGTACTTGCCGGAATTTCCGTCCAATTGTTGTTCGTTGGACGCTATTTCCGACCAAAAGTCGTAGTTGGACGGAATTTCCCACGGAGGTTTTTCCGAACGTTCATTTTGGTCGGTATATTGGACAGAAACATCGTTTCCGACCAATATATCGCGTTTTCCGTCCAATATTTGTTGGACGGAAAACGCGAGATTTCCAGCAGTGGAGCCCAGAAGAGGCTATCATCTTGCTGCTCCAAACCCGGCCAATCCTTCACCAATTGGCTCCGCAATTTTGCATCAATCTATACAAACAAAGCAAGCTAAGCAATTACTAAAATAAAATAAAATAAAAAAAGTTTAATTATTTCATATATTATATATATAAACTCACAATTTTATCATTCAACGGCGGGAGCCCTTTAACCGGTGGTAGGCTGGTCCATGATTGATCGTGCGGCCAAAGGCCGTGAATGGTGAAGTGTTGAACAATTTTATTAGGTATACAGGCCTTCGTTTGACAGTAGCCATTAGGCCAGGTCAATGCGAATTTGAGGCCTGTCAAAGTGGGTGTGGGTGGCGGTGGCGGTGGAGCTTGTGGATTGGCATCTATGGCAGTTTGAAATGCATAGACGGGAGTGCCTAGGAGGCACAATGTCATCAATGCTTGTAACATTATATTATATTGCTTCTACGTTACAATCCTCTTGGAACTGATGAGCGGGCCTTTATATAGTGTGAGAGTGTTTGTTTTGAGTCGATTTCCAACCAATAGTGCTGGTTTGTTTTGAGTCGATTTCCAACCAATAGTGCTTTTTTGTTTTGAGTCCATTTCAACAACAGTGCTACTCGTTTGTTTTGAGCCGCTCTCCCAAAAACAGTGTTTAATTTGTTGCTTCCTATTCGCACACCTCAAATTTCTTCGTTTCTTTTCTACTACTTTTGTCACATTGTCTACCCTCAAAACTCAAAACACAACATGCTCATAGATTCACGTCTTATTATGAATTAACGATGAGGTACAAACTTTAATTTATACACCTACTAAGGTATTATAAAATTTCATAACACAAACACATACAAATTTTTATATACTTAATTACTTATTTTTCAAACGTACAAAATTTATCACAAGAGTATTTCTATCATTTTTTTTTTTTTTTTTTTTTTTTTTTTTTTTTTTGTTCAAGTTGAAGGGGTTAATGGAATTGGTACGTTTTACTTCATTTTCAAATTACTTCAAAGTGTTAGTGGTTAACGATTTAAAATTTTGTAGAGCCTCCTAAAATGTCCATGTATCTGGACGTTATTATATTCTTTTTAGTGCATAAGTTGTTGTGTAACACCTTACCTTCAATTCAAATGCACATACAACAATTATATTATTAGTGCTTTTTAATTTGTAATTTGGCTAGCTATTAATTGATTATAAATTATTGGAATTGGTTTGGCGTTGTTTTCATAAGGTAATTTGGCTATTATAAATTATTGGAATTGGTTTGGCGTTGTTTTCATAAGGTAACTGTTTATTGTTTATGTAGAGGAAATAATTTAAGGTTGACTTGTGTACGTAATACAAAGGAGTGAGTCGGGGTTTATTTAGTGCACACCATCGGGTAATGATTATTGATTTTTCTTATCATCCAAAAATGGTACATCCCTACAACCCAAAGTCATCCCAAGAGCACGTATATAATTTTTTGTTACAAATAAAAATTAAAATAAAATAGAAAAACAAAACCCTTAAAAATTTTAGTTAAGTAGTTTTTCTTTAATTTAATGTGATGGACAATGCTATGTTTAATTCTCATCTAGTGCGTGCCTATTCCCACCAAAGGATTTGATCTGAATTTGTTACCTGTCATTGTTTTACTTCGGTAGTGCCAATAGGTTGAAAACTCAAATTTTTCCCAAAGAGGTGTGTGGACTTTATTTTAACATAGTATGGAGTGTAAAATGGAAGTTGTTATTATATTAAAATTGGTTTTACATTTTTTTTTTTATAAAATAACTATTTATTGTTCATATAGAAAAAATATATTTTAAGGTTTGAATTGTGTAATACATACTAGTCTTTGGATTTGCCTTGTGCATCGACTTAGATATTGATTACGTTATACGTGGACCTATCAACAAGCTCGCATAAATTAAATAAGAAAAATAGTAATAATATTGAGTGGCCTAATGTAAGAGTCCCAAAATGTTAGGAATATATTGTAATAGATTTTGATATGCCAAATTGTATTTTAGAATCCCCAATTTTATTTGTTAAGTCTAGGCGTGTCATAGACCATGAAAGGAAAATTAACAAATATGAAGAAAGAGAAAAATACGAAGATGAAGATGTATGCGTATGATATGTATACTAAATAAGCCCACACGGCCAAGTCAAAGAAGAAGTCATACTGATGAATCTCATACGAAGGAACGAGAAGCAAACCAAAATTCATGAAGTTATCTTGAAGATCAAGCATCTATTGAAAGAAAGAAGTAGATCAAGGAGAATGCTATAATGACTAATAATATATATAGTCGAGATGGATGAAAGCTTGATGTATAAACCGCAAGGTCTCAGGTTCGAAACGCACTCCCAAGACTGAAGAAAATTTCATTGTCAAATGTGACTACTTTGGAAAATTCTTTAATCTCGATCATGGAGGTCAATTATACATTTATACTGAAGCCTTTTTCAGGTGGTCTTTCTAGTATAAAACTTGTTATGCAACTTATACAACTATACAGCACAAGGCAGGTTGGAAGTAGCTAGGATCAATAGGTGTAATCAACAGGTTGGAAAAACAATAATGATCATTGAATTTTATATACTTTATTTCTAATAGCAGAGATTTATGATCTTTACCAAAGCTTTTTTTTATGTTGTAATTATAAAATGGCCAAAATTTCTGCACTACACATTAATTATGAAAACTAGCAATGCTTTCTTGTTACTAGTTACATCAGGTTCAAAATTTTTTAGAACTTTTCGTTGAAGTTTGTCCTCATTGAAGATATTTCTTGTTAGATATATTATGCATGTGGTGATTGAATTGTCCATGTATCTATTGATTTATAACTTTTGTGGGGTTACAATAATTATTGTAGCACTTCCTAGCCTTGTATCTATTGATTTATAGCTTGTTGAACAGCTTGCAATTCCTATCCTTCAAAATCATTTAGCACACTATTGGGACATGCTTAGCACTCGAGAAACAAAATATATATGCTGTCTCTGCCATTAACTTGGTGTTTAGATATGTCCCCTTGTCTAGATGCTGTGGCTAAGATCCTAATTTGAGCATAAATAGAGGGTTAAGCTTTAAGATCGATCTCAATTCGCAATTATCCTCCTCAAATTAAGTTAGGATGAGGAGGAGAATTTGCAAATTGGGAACGATCTTAGGGCTTAAATCCATTTATTCATGCTCAAATTGGGATCTTAAGTTGAAAATGACGAAAATACGCTTAAAAAGTTTTAGGAGTGACTGACGTGATGAATTTTGACACTAAAACAATAGTCGTGGATGAAAATTGGTAGTAAAACAACAGTCGTGGATGTAAATGGGAGGAATTAAACATGTGGATCAAAATTGTCATTTTGCTAATACTCATGGGACTAAAATTGGTATTTGCTCATTTGTTAGCATTACAGTTAAGAATTTTTTTTTTTTTTAAAAGAATACTATTGACTCTATTACAATGTAGATAGTACTTTCTCAACCTATATATTGAAGCACAGATTAAAGAGTCAATATCGTCTTCACTAAGGCTCGAATCCACAACCTCTCATATGAGAGAGGAACTTGGTGTCATTGGACCATAAAGTCCTTGGTCAACTAAAGAATATAATAGTTAAATTATCTAAAATGCATGGTAAGTTTTAAATTTTATTATTATTTATAATTTAATATAAAGTAAATTGTTATGTCTTATTATTACAATCAAAATCTATTTCAATTATCAAGTATCTAATTTCTATTCCGATTTCCATGTTTAAATGTTATATAAAAGAAAGGAATACAAGATGACATTACATCTTGTATGACATTATGCACCTCTAATATTAATGGCAAATATAAAACACTCAGAGTATCAGGTAATTAATGTGCTACCTGGCTCGTCTCTATTAAAATTTGGTTTCTTTCTTAAACAAAAAACTGCAAAAGCAAAACAATAGCACCATACTGAGTTATAATAGCTGTACAATGAAGGAAAGTACAATACAGTTTGATTTGGTGATGCACAGACATATTTTGGCTCAGCAATATAATGCCATCTTATACTGCTTTCATTGTCCCACTAACCTAAGGTTACAACCCTTACCATTTTCATTTGAACTAATTAACAGTACACCTTATGATTTAATTTGGGCAGCTGATTGTAACACTACATGCACACATTCAAAGTTTGCTCAATTTCGACTTATATATGTGTATGCAGTAGAAAAAAAAAATAAATAAAACATAGTGAATTTAACTCATCTGAGTGTACATATACATGTAATATTGTTTTTAAAATGATTTGAGACTTTCACTATAAACAAAAACAGGATGAAGACAACCATCCCAACTAGCGTTACAAATGATGATCTTCTTTTCTTGAGTTATCAAATCATACGAGCTGAAGTAATCACGATCAACATCGATAACAGCCCCATGACGATCATATACCAACAAATGTGCACCCAAATTCCAAATTCTCAATGGGCAGGAGTACTCATTGCACTGCACGCTAGCATATTTATTCCAACTAATAATATTATTATGTTCATTTATTGTCCAAATTTCGATTTGATTCCAGTTATTACGATAACTTATCAAAGTAATAGTATCTTTAATAGCCGAAACGATTGGCGGAGCCGAAATGATGGGCGGCCATTGAAGAGGAGAATGTATTTCTGGTAACTCAATCTTCCCCAAAGTCTCATCATCAAAGTCGAACCAAAGCAAATTTTTTTGACCGTTGATCTCGCAACTCCAATAATACTTTCCTTTTAAATACAAATTACAACCCTCATTATCCACACTAGAAATGTCCAAACTATGACTAAATCTTTTCCAACCACATGAGTTATTACCGTCTTGGCTACAAACCATTACGATTGGACCAGGAGTAGTACAAATCATGACAACCTTTCCCATCATGTTAGAAGAAAACCCAAATCCAATTGTTTTATAGCTTAAATCAAATCCGATTAGTGCCTTGATATTTTGTAATTTCTTAATTTCTCTAGTGGACGGATTCCATAACAAAATATCAAAAACATCATAGTTTTTAACCAAACAAAACATACCATCAGCATACCTTATATCACTTATGTTTGAAATTGGGAAGGTTAGATCTGCACATCCAATCTCATCAGAGTCTGATTCTTTGTAAAGTAAACCAAATCCTCGATCATCGTAATAAGTCGGCATCCTATGCAGGAAAACTACATAATCTCTTTTCGCTCGACTAATTTCAAAGTGCTTGTGTTTGAAATGATTCTCACTTTTTATCAAAGAATAAAAGAATTTACAAACACACTTAAATCGCATGAGTGACCTTACCGGTAACCGCGCCAGAATCTCGATCACAACATCCCTCGAAATTATGCAGTTTTCCATTGTTGATTGACAGACGTTTGAAATGGTGGAAGTGGAGCTTTTATTTGGGCGATTTCGTATGGAATGGCTAAACAACAGTATT